TCATGCTGGGAGGTAAAAAGCAGGTTCACCAAGAACAAAAGCCTTTCTGGTAGCTGTTGGGAAGTTCCCTAATGGTCCTGTTATAGGTCTGGTAGCCAAGAGCAACTGGCACTCGTAGGCAACCCCACGCCTCACCCAGTGGTAAAATCAGGCTGACAGGCTTGGATCACCTAGAGAACACAGAACTAGGTCCCCACATGGGCCACCAAAATTATAACCGAAGTGCAGATTCAATTGCTGACCACTTGCACAGTGCAATTAACAAAAGCAAAGTCTGGTATAAAGAAAGTGACCTTTTATTCAAAACCTAGCTTCGGGGAAGAATTACAGACTTCCTTAAAAGTACGGCTTCACTTTTGGAGCAAAAAGGGTGCGCTTTTAAAACGGGGCCTAGCACAAATGGCATGTAGGGGAGGAAGCAAACAGGTGGGGGTCTGCGTGCTCATTGTGTTGCTTCATCTACCAGGTAGTCGAGTTGGCTTCTTCATGGGCAGAACTAGGTTACGAAGGTGGCTGAAATTCTCCAGGTGGGAGAGAGTTTTGTAGCAGGCATACCTTGGGTTATAAATTGACTGTTGTCCTCATGGCAGTGTCCTGGTGGGAGAGAGTTCCCCTCTGGAGCTTCTAAGCACAGTCAGGTGAAATTACCTTGTAGGAAGTGAAGCAGAGGTAAAAGGTTATAACTGCATTTCTAAAGGGCTAAGCAGGAAGCAGGGAACAGGGAAAAATGGAAGAAATAGAAAAGGAGTGACCAAAATAAGAAAAAAACTAATAACTCATTCTCTTTTTCTTAGCTACGTGAAGTACTCAGTTACATACCATCTGGAAGTCCTTAAATGTCGACACTACTCAGAGAGATCTTCACTGTCCTCTCTCTAACACCCTCTACTGGATGATCTCATTTATATCCTCTTCACCTATTGCTCATCCACTGATAACTCCAAAATCTACATTTCCGCTCATTCTTCTTTCCTAGGCTGCACATCAGGGTATCTCCAGCCTTTTGAACATCTCCAAGTTAATGCCCCTTGGGTACCAGAAACTCACATTTATAAAATTAATCTCACATTCTTCTCAGGCCTGCATGAGGAGAAGAAGTACAGGCTTCCTGCCTTAAAAGTACCGCTTCATTTTGGAGCAGAAAGTGGGCGCTTTTCTATTTTTCCTCTATGAGGTTCCATCTAAAGGAATGGCGCACCATCAACTCAGTTCCTCCAGCCAAATATTCTAAAAATATATCCATTATATCCATACCTCTTTTTCATCTCCGACATCCAATTAATCAATATATACTCCTTTAAATGCCACATATTTATGTCTTTTTTCTTTTAGACAAAGCCTTGCTTGGTCACCAACACTGGAGTGCAGTGGCACAATCATAGCTCACTGCAGCCTCAAACTCCTGAGCTCAAAGCAATCCTCCTGCCTCAGCCTCCCAGATTGTTGAGATTCCAGGCATGAACCACTGTGGTGCCTGGCCCACATATTTCTTAAGTGTGTCTACTTCTTTCAACATAGTCAACACCCTAATTCAGGTCACCATCATTTCTCACCCGGACTATTAACCACAGCTTCATCTTAGCCCCTTAGCAAACAATTTTCTGCTATTCGGATTGATGTCATGTCTCCTTTCCTCAAATACCTGAACAAGTCACATTAGACTCTCTATAATCTGGCTTTTTCTTACCCCATCAGTTTCATCTCCAGAAGATCCCTTCTTCTCTTTTATACCCTTAGGCTACATTATTCTAGACATAATGAGCAAGTTCCTTCTGTTCCCCAAAGCACCATATTTTATCTGTCTTCCAGAACCTCATATTTGTTCTTCCTTCTCTGTGGAATACCATTTCCCTACTTCTACTGGCTAAATCCCATTTATCCTTCAGATGTCAAATTACATGGCATTTTCTCCAAGAAACTTTTTCTCTTCTCCCTCACTTTGTATAGGTTAGTTCCCTGAACTATGAGCTAGCAGAGCCGACTGAATCCCCACTATCATAAAAAATACTTAGTATATTTTGTTGGAATGTGTAATCTGTCTCCTCAATACACTGAGAGTTCCATAAAGACAAGAACTATGTCTGATTTGCTCAACCCACATACTCTGAGGTAGCAGGATTCTTGGCCTAAAGTTCTGAATAGCTTTATCACAGCTAAAGCACAGTTTTAAGGATGGAGGCACTAGATCAATGCAAATACTTGACTATTTATCTACGAGGTTAAAGCTAGATGGAAAAATACAGCTTAAAGAACTCAAAATTTTACTGACTGAAACACGATGAAGACCCCTTCTTCATACAGTAATTGTACTAACATTTAATTCAGGATTAGAAAAAGGTCATTGTAAATGGTCTTGGACAGCAAGTGTTTCTGGAAAAGGATTCCTTGCTCCAAATCAAATGTAACAGTACATATATAAACATAGATTTTGTGTATATTTAAGGTATATATGTTATGAGATACATATAGATAGTAAAATGGTTACTATAGTGAAGCAAATCAACATATACATCATCTCACATAGTTACACTTCTTTTTTGTTTTTGTGGCGAGAGCAGCCATTTTTTATGGCAGAATGGCAACAGCATTCTAAATACCTGGTTATCTCATCCCAGCTTTGTTCCGTATTGGAATTGTGACCTATATCATTTTACCTAACCTTGCTGAGACTCAATTTTCTCATCTGAATTGGAACTAACAGAATTTCTCCTACCTGCCCCCATCTGACTTTGAGCTCAAATAATTTATGTGAAAATAGTGTAATAAATTTTTCTTTAAAAATACATTAGGAATGAGCTAACTCCTAACATGTCCACTAGGGTGCGTGATGCCGCAACTGGAACCATCTGCTAAGAACGACTTGGCAGTCTTACTATGTGGGTCTTCTTTATAACAACCAAGAAATGAGATCTAAGTTTGAGTAAGTAGATAAAAGAAAAATAATTGTTACCAACTCTGCCCTCAGCCCTCTATCCCCTCAGCAATGACCCAAAAATCTAAACGCTCAGAGGTCCTGGCCCGCTTCTTCACATTGCTGTGAAGGCTTACATTGCTGTGAAGGTGTTAATGGATGTTTTCGGACCATGGATGGGCTTTTCACTTCTCCATGTTTACCATCCGGTATAGAGGAGGACCACTGAATTCACTATGAGAGATCGTCATCATCTTCACCAAGAGAGCATGAGCTTTTGAGTAAGATAAAACTGAATTTCCATTCCCAACCCACCACATTCTAGTCCTTTGATTCATTTCATTGATTTCAGGTTTATAACCTTAATTCTGGGAATAGAAATAGACACCTCAGGTGCTATTTAGAGACTGAGTTGAGGGAGCAGTTTTCTCCTCTCCTCAGGTATGGGAATATCCATGTCCATAATTTGAAATTGCAGATTCTCAGGTTTTGGTAGCGGTAGGGGTTTAAGGATGGAGGGATTTCTCTAGGCCATTTGGAGTCAGCCTGTGTCAGAGAACTAGTCTAGCAACAAAACCTACAAAGCATCTGACCCTTCTACTATACACTGTGAAGTAGTCGTACATTGTATTTTTTTATTACATTTCCCTCACATTATCTGGTAATCTTCAGTAAAATCTCATTAAAAGTCACGGCTTAGACTCTGATGGTGCTGTAGGAAATTAGGGAAGGGTGTGGGTACATTATGGGGTAAGAAGGTAGAAAATGGAGAGCAGGATTCCCTTTTGAGTCCACAGTGGTGGTATCCTTATTTACCACTTGGATACCACTGTGCCCAGAGGAGCAGCAACTTCATGAGGGTCAGGGCCTGCAGAGGCAGTGCTACTGTGGCTTGCTGAGAAGTCAGAGATGACGAAAACTTTCTGGAAAAGAGGTAAACAAATAACAGGCCCACTTTTAGCAAATACACTGCAATTGTGTGATTTATTACAAGAGCAGTCCCTCCGAATTGATAGCTCGTCCCCAGCCTCAGTGCTTGGTAAAAAAAAAAAAAGTCTGTGTGCCAATTAGGAGACAAAAACAAACACAAAACAGGCCGATTCCACCCTGCACCAGGTCTTGGTGAGTAGAGGTTGCTCTAGATTTCAGACCCACGTTTTCTGCTGTGCTTTCTGTACTTGTGCAAGGTAGAAGCAGCAAAAATTCCGTCATGGCTCTCTGAGCATTAGCCTAAAACATTCTAAGAAATAGTGAGATGCCTGTATGGCGTATGCTTAACAATAAAAAGGTCATGGATTATTTGGAAACATTCTGGTGGATGAGGCACACTGTGCTATCCTTGTTTGAATTATATATATTTATACTTATAAATAGAAAGACTGGAAATTATATTTATATATATATTTAAACGGTTATTTGTGTAAAAGGCTTATGTGTGATTTTTTTACATTTAATTTTAATTTTTAATTTGTGGGTACACAGTAGGTATATATATCTATGGGGTATTTTGATACAGGCATACAATGTATAATAATCACATAAGGGTAAAAGGTGCATCCATCACCACAAGCATTTATCCTTTGTGTTACATGCAATCCAGTTATACTTCTAGTTATTTTTTTTAAGTAAAATTAAATTATTCAGCATAGTCACCCTGTTGTGCTGTCAAATAATAGATTTTATTCATTTGTGATTGTGGAGTTTTCAAAATTTTCTGAAATTAAGATGAATTAATTTTGTTATTAGAAAAAAAAATGCAGTGCTTTTTTAAATGAAGGTAAATAGTAGAATGAGCATTCCCACTGGAAACCTAAGCTTACATCCACCACTAGAGTTTAAAGTTTTCTGGTCATGTGTGACATACTGATGGGGCTAAAGTCCTTTGGCACATACAACTGGGGGCTTTTTAAGGAAAAATTCACACTAAGGGAAAAGCAGCCTGCAAACAAGTTTAGTTCAAGAACAAAAGCTAGGTTTTCAGAGAGGAGGAATGAGTCCTTCTGGGCTGTGGGTCTTCTGACAAGCCTTCCGCACTTAAGTCTAGGGAGAGAGGGGGCCTACAAGTAAACTCGGAAGCATATACTTTTTGCAATTTTTATTATGGAAAATTTCAAACATATACAAAAGTATAGAGAATAGTATAATGAACTCTCAAACACCCACCACACAGCTTCAGCAATTACCAATGCGCGGCCAATCTTGTTTCATCTATGCACTCAATTACCCCACTCTCAGATTATTTTGAAGCAAATACCAGTAGCTATCATTTCACCTGGACATTTTTCAGTACACTTCTTTAAAAGATAAGAACATCTTTTTAAACAACGTAACCACAGTACCGTATCACAATTTAAAAAACAATAAATCAAGAAGTTACATTTTTATTTCAAATTATTATTATTTCACTGGTATCATGAGGAAGAGTGTAACACTAAAATGGAGTCCAAGCTTTTATTGATGTAATAGCTTTATAACGTGAAGGAAAAAACATCAAACACACTACCATATTAGAGCCATTTTGGGTCATTTGTAAGGAGCTGGAAGAGACTGCTGACATCACATATCCCATGGCAAAACTCTGCAAGATTTCCTCTAAACACCTTTCTTATTTTCTTAAAGTTGTTCTCCTGGAGGCAGCTGATCCAAGTCCTCTTTTTTAAAAAAAAATCCTTCATTTTGTGTTCCCCTCTTACAGCAGCCTCTTTCCTAAATGCCTTTCCCAAGTGACAACAATTTTGCCCTCTCTCAGCCCTCTGCATTCTCATATGCAGGAACTAGGTAGGATAAGGAGTTAGCTGTGTGCGCTGGAAAAGGTATGAAAACTACAGCCAAACGATCAGTGAAAGAAGCAAAAGAAACCTAGACAACTAAATGGCATAATTAACTTTGGAAACTTCCTATGATATAGCCTGCTAGCTCTGGCATCCAATAATACAGCATGTTACATCTGTAAAATGAGGATGTTTTCCTCAAAGAGATGTTAAGATGACATGTAAGAAGTGGTTAGGGCAGGCATTACAAAACAAAATGTTTTATATATCATTTTAAAATCTATTTTTATAAAAACTCACAACATTATCTTGCATCCACTGTATTTATTTTTACAATTACCTTTATAGCAAGTGATAGTTTTTGAATAAAATTTTAAGCAAATCATCAACAGTACAAAAACACTAGAGTTGTTACACGAAGGACTGATTCTACAAAACGTTACCCTAAGGTGATGGCATAATCTTAAAACTGTGCAGCTACTGTGTGGTATGACATAGAAATAGGAATAATAATTCTTGTCCTCAAACATCTTACAACTGCCTTGAAATATTTCTGAAACACCTGATACACAAAAGCCACACACATGGTGCCTAGATAGCATATACTCTACTAGCACCAGATTGGAAGGGGAATGTTTTGCCACACGGTGATTACAAAATATTAATTGAATCAAAGAACCTTCAGTGATGCCAACCATACTTCAAGTAGTATCTCAGATGCAGGATTTGCAAAGAGTAAGGAAAAATAGTCTTCGCTCTCAAAGACATCATAGTCTAATAAAGAAGGCAGACACATCAAAAAAGCACAACAAAAGGCCATGTTATAGTACAACAACCAGATCAAGAGTCAGTGGTATAGACAGGGAAGGAGTGTCCCAAGATGTAGGAAGAAATCAGATGAGCTGTCTTCTTCGGAACACAGAAGTGCTCACCTGAACTTGACAATTCCACTCATCACTGGGTTCACATCAATATTAGCTTCAGCACAATTCTGAACATCTTTGCTGTTCATCTAGAAAAACAAACCAACATACAATTAGCAGGCTTATGTTAATAATTCCTCCAACTAACAAATCTATCAGGGTTTATTATGTACATCAACCACTTTTGATCAAGCACTTCCCTTCCACAGAATTACCTAATGCAGATGCAATGAGTCTGGGACTATGGGCGGGCACCACCACATCTGACTAATTTTTGTAGTTTTAATTCATTAATAATTAGAAGTAGAGACAGGGTTTCACCATATTGGCCAGGCTGGTATCCAACTCTTGACCTCAAGTGATCCCCCTGCCTTGGCCTCCTCAAGTGCTGGGATTACAGGCGTGAGTTATAAAAGTGTTACGTTTTAGCACAGTCAGCACAGTGACTTCCACTTCTTATAGTGCTGTTTGCCCAAACATATTTAAAATCTGCTAAATACCATTAGTATTAATAGCTTATCAAGAGACCACTACCAGGAAAATATTGATCAAAGTCTTTCTGAGAGTACCTGGTGGCTCCCCCACATTTTCTAAATGTAAACAAATTGGCATTCTTATACTAGCCTTTTCAAATTATTTTAGAATTTCTTCCCTTTCATTTGTTTCTTTAAAGTGTAGTCAACAAATTTTACATTTAAACACACACATATGTTTCTTGAAAAAATTGTATATATTATAGACAGCACCAATTACATTTCCAGTATATGCATCTATATTAATCTGTTTTCCTCTTTATATATTCACAAGAATAAAACACTTGACCAGCTGAAAATGTAAGCTATTTATAAAACATGCAGAAAATAAATCTCTGATTCATGTCTGCAAACCTCAATTGTCTGTGTAGAGTACTCTTTTTCCTTTCTTTATCAAGCGAGGGCTGTAAAATTTCGGTGTACATTTTCCTGCTATCACAAAAGAAAATATGTACAAGTGAACTCTAATACTCTTAGAAGGAAAAAAATCTCAACTGTACATCAATCTTTGGAGCACTGAGGTGATAGAAATTTTCTATATACCACCTCTGTTCTCAAGAAATGTGGTGCGGCCAGGTGCAGTGGCTCAGGCATGTAATGCCAGCACTTTGGGAGGCCGAGTTGGGCAGATCATGAGGTCAAGAGATCGAGCCCATCCTGGCCAACATGGTGAAACCCCATCTGTACTAAAAATACAAAAATTAGCTGGACGTGGTGGCGTGCACCTGTAATCCCAGCTATTTGGGAGGCTGAGGCAGGAGAACTGCTTGAACCCGGGAGGCGGAGGTTGCAGTGAGCCAAGATCACACCACTGCACTCCAGCCTGGCACCTGGTGACAGAATGAGACTCTGTCTCAAAAAAACTGAAAAAAAAAAAAGAAAGAAAGAAAGAAAGAAATGTGGTGCCACTGTTCCGAAAACAAATCTTGTAACACATTTAAGTATGGGTAAACAAAATACAAGTCTCAGTTTCTCAAAACAGTTTCTGCACTAATGCTTTTAAACCTGAAACTCCTGACTTAGTTTTGAAGAGAAAAAAAGAATCTCCTTGGTATTCTTAACTATTTTGATGAGGCTAAGTTCCAGAGAAAATTTTTTCAAAGACTGCTTAATTTAAATTGACAATACGTCTTGAAAAGTAGCATTACATGTTCTAAGTGTTTCTGGAACATAAAAAGGAAAAAGAAAAACCACAACATATTTATAAGCTAACAATTTTTAAGAGTGGGTTACTATGAATACTGTACATTATTTTTTACTTTGTCAGATACATAAGAACCAAATAAGATCATGCATAATTACTTCTAATGATAGCAAGTACAAGTTAAGTCTCCAAAGTATTCGTGACAGTGTTTCATGTGGAATAAATTTTACTACAAAAATATCCAGAAAATACAATCTAGTATATCTCCTAGGTCAATATTAATGTAGAATTAAGAACCTTGTGAAAGAACTAGGTTATTGAGGAAAATTTTAAGATCTATTTGAGACTGCATAATAAAAGTCAATTTGTCTGGAATTTAAAAGCGTGTTTCAGGGTGATGAAATAATCTGTACAACAAATAACCACGACATAAGTTTACCTATGGAACAAACCTACACTTGTACCTCAGGAATTAAAAGTTAAAAAGTATTTTTATAAAAATATGAGGTTCAAATATATATATCACTTTGTTACAAGAAAAATAGAAAAATACTCCATATTTGATCAAGCCATGTAATTCAGATAATAAAACTGCTATAAGTTTTAAAAAGCCACTCTTTTTTAGTTTACTCTTTCCTTTGATAGCATTAGTGCAGAAAATGTTTTGAGAAACTGAGATTTGTACTTTGTTTACCTATACTTCAATGTGTTATCAGATTTGTTTTCTAAACAGTGGCACCACATTTTAAAAAGTGCAACGGCACCCCCTGTTTAGCAGGATAAAAAATATTAATTATTTGTGAAATTACAATGCATTCCAAATAGAGAAATATTTCAGTGTTCTGAATGGTAAAATACAAAAAGCACACAAGGGGGCAGAAAAAAAAAAGTAGAGACAGTTACAAAACTAACTATTCTATGGTATTAAAAAGACAGGAGAGCAAAATAATGAGTAGGAGGTTTTTGGATTACAGGCAATGTTAATTTCCTGTTGTAGATGCTGGTCACCTGCACCCAGAATAGGCTGTCCTGTGAGACAAAACAATTACTGTCTATCATTAAGAGAAATTGTTCAGGTATCCTAATAGTTTGACAACTCTGTACCAGGTGAACATCACTAGAGGTAACTCAGTTGGGATCTCATCTTCCTAAAAGATTCCATTCCTTTGGTTGCTAGGAGTCAGGGAAGTTCAAACAGAATGTCACCATATTCAAATACAGGAGGAAGACCACTTTCTTTCAAAAACGAACTTAAATTGAGAGAACCATGGTTCTTCTATGGTATCCAGGAAGGGGCAATGGGAGTTGGAAGTTGAGCATGGGAAATCAAATTCTGTGAGTCCAGTTTCTGTGATGTGTTTAGCTAGCAGATCCCCAGCAGCGTCAATTCAATAAGGTTAATCTACATGGGAAACAGCCATTTGAAGTCAGCAGTGAAAAATGACCACTTGTGAAAAATTTTTGAAAACCAAATGGTCGACATAGGAATAGAAAAAAAAATTCTGAAAGGGGCAAATGAGATCCCAGTCCTGAAGCTGACGTGACTGTCGAGTGCAGAAAGAGCACAAGAGGTAGAATTCCCTAATTTTTTAACAAATTCAAAACTGATCTTTTAAACCAACTCCCACCACAGAAGGGCTCCGTGACAACAAGGGCGAACGCTGCAAAGGAGAAAACAACTCAAGGGGAAAAAAATCCTAAAAGATGTCCACACAACCAAGCTGGTGAGACTTTAAAGGCCTCCACTGCCAAACCAACCACAGGACTGGTATGAAAATGCGCACGCCGGCTCACCCGTGAATCTGTGTGAAATGTAAAAGAATCAAAAACATCACAGGGCGCAAAGGCAGACACGCGCACACTCCCCCACACCCCTTGCCCCTGCCCCCCCACGCCCCCCACAAGCAGGGTTAAGGCACCTAAGACGCCAAGCGGCCACACACACCCCCCAAAAGCAGGGTGAGCAGTTAAGGCACCTAAAACCCCAAGCAGCTTAGGCTTCCCGAAACATTTCCCAGTGGAACCAAGAAGCGATTCTGAACGCATCTGAAAAACGTGCGAACTGTCTGAAAACAGGGCCTGGCAACGGAGACAGTTTGCAAGCGTGATTCAGAGGGTCTGCCAAGGAAACAAAAGAAGCCTCCCTCCTCCCGGTGAGACCGCACATGGCACGAGAGGTGCTGCAGGCGGGATGCGTTTGCAGCGAGGCGGACAGACCCAAGTCTGCGCGGGCGGGCGGGCGGGAGTGGTACCTACTAGGGATCGCTGTCTGGCGAGGAGGACGGGGCCACGGAGTTTCCATTGGTCGGGGAGCCGCCCAGCTTCAGCTTCTCCAGATACTCGGCGTGCACGGGCTTGTGGCACTGGAGAACCTTGATGGCATCTTCGACTTTGAACCACTCGCGCTTCCTGCCGATGTTGACCGAATCTTCCCAATCCTCCAGCAGCTCCGTGACGGTCAGGACATACACGTACGTTCGGTGCTTGCGATCCTGGTTCTGCTCGAAGACGCCCAGGAGCCGGCCTAACTTCCCCTTGACTCCCGCCTCTTCGTACACCTCCCGGACCGCCGCACCGCCCGGCTCCTCCTCGGGCTCCATGCCCCCGCCCGGCACGATCCAGCGGTCCGGGTACCGGCTGCTACTCACTAACAGCACCTCGTCCTCGCGCTCGCTCCGGAAGCACAGGCACGCCGCCCGCTTCTTGAACCCCTCCGGGTCGTAGGTGCGCGTCTGGTTGGGCTTGCACTTCATCCTCGAGGCTGCCTCTTCCAGCCACTCGCTGCTGGGGGCTGCAGCCGCCGCCGCCGCCGCGGAGAAGCCGAGGTGCCGGGCAGAGAAAGGGCCGAGGCGAGGGGCAGGGAGCGAGAGGAGCCTCAGTGTGCCCGCGAGCCGGGAGAGCGGAGGGAGTGATGAGGCTGGGCGGGGCGCGGGCGGAGGCGGGGGCGGTGAGGCGCGTCAGTCAGCCAGTTAGCCAGTACGATGGGCGGTCGGCTAGACCCGGGCCCGCCGGAGTGGAGGAGGCGCCGCCCGCGAGCCCGCGACTCTCCACCGAGCCCACCCGCGTCTCGGGGGAGCGTCTCCCTCCCTCTGCTGCCGGGCAAGGGCTGAGCGAGGAGGGGCTCAATCGCGGCCGCGTCCGCGCTCCCGTTCACGTGCGCGTTCGCGCGGTGGAGGGCGAGGGGCGGGGGCGGGGGTCTCCCGGTTCCCGCAGCGCGCAATGCCTCGGGCCCACTGCGCAGGCGCCGCGCACCTCTGGGGCCGGGAACCTCCTTAGCGCACAGCGAAATTCACCGCATTGTGCCTTTGGCCGAATGCTTCCACGTGTGCCTTTGACCCAAACGCGATTGTGGCGTGGCCGAACGTTTCTTCTCTCCCTCCCCACTGCGCTGCACGAAACCGACCATACAGTCGTTTTACACGCGACAGGGGCAAGGGCATCGTCATCATCATCCCCTCGCATGATGAACCATTCTGGCTTACTCATGGGACCTGGGCCCGGGTGTTGTCAGCACCACTCACAGGATTCTAGGAAGAGTAGCCGGGCATCTTTGCTGAGTCACATGATGCAGTTTTATTTCTTCAACAGGTTCCCACCTTGCCTGGCATCTTGGCGCAGCCAGTAATTCAACGCTTTTCATAAACCCCTGTTCACAACGTGCCTGAACACTCCGTGCCTCAGTTTCCTCATTGGTACACTCCTCGCCTCCTTTTTGCAGCCATTTCCACTTCGATGCACGTACACCTTAAGGACCAGAGAACCACCCATCTAGTACTCCTGCATTAAAGCCCAAGACAATTCTCATTCTCCACAAACTCCACCCTTCACTATCTTTCTCTTTGAATAAGCTCCACTTGGAGTTTGGGAAACCATGCACGTTGAGATCCCCTCCTGTTTCACACTTTGATTTTTAAAAGACTCCCTGCGTGAGACTCCAGCAAGGCCACTTGCTGCTCTCTCACCTCTCTCTCTGGTCATACTGTCCTCTCAGCCAGGAAATGGTAACCCACCGCCAAAAATTTAACAACCTAGAGCTTTCCTTCTCCTTTTCATTTATTCTTGGTGTTTCCTCATCTCATAGTAGCCCTCTGAGTTCCCCTGACTTTGGTTGCACCTTGGTCTCTCTCTTATTGGCACCCTGTTGGCATCAGCCAGGGGGTATCATGAAAGCCTCCTTTGTCGATGAAGTAATTCCTTCACCCAGGGCAAATGGACTCAAATGGAAATGGAGAAACAATTGAGTTCACTTTCCAGGATCTGCTCAACTCCACTTATAATCAGAATCACCAATAAAAATGCTCCTATTACCAAGTGCAAGCAATATCTGCACTACCTAGACCGTAATATGACAAAACGCTGTGGGTTGTATATGAACAAAATTATAAAATACACACATAAAAAGAGTGACCTCAATAGAGACACTACTGCTCCTCACCATATTTTAAAGATGGATGGATGGTGGAAGAGCATTTGAAGGAATTCAACACCTGGGATTAAAAACAAACTAAGAAAGTGTACTTAACAGGCAATATTTCTCAGGGTTCTCAAATTCACAAACACACAAATTATGTTAAACAACTAGGGAAAACTGCATTACAATCAGGAGCAAGACAAATCTGCCTACTGTCAAAAATATTGTTAAATATTGTCTTACAAGTTCTTTCTAGTGGAATGAGTTGTAAAGAGAAAAAAGTAATATATATATTAGTAAAAACACAAAGTTGTCATTATTTGTAGATGATATGGAGATCTTGAGAAACAGCTAAGAAAAAAATGTAAATTAAATCCCTATAAATGGAAGAATAAAATATTATGATTTAAAATATCAAAAGCTTTCATGCATACCAGCAATATCATGTAGGAATTAAAATGGGAAATGATGACATCCGACTTGGCACTATCGACCGCCACAAAACAAATAAAATACTAAGGGTCCTAAAAAATATGATTAGGACTTAGTAGTACAAAATGTTTGAACTTCTACTCAGAGCTTTAAAACATGATTTGAATAAATCACAACTCACTCTAGCCAAGCTAGCAGACTGGTGTGCTGTCTGGGGGTGGGGGGGTGCCAATCCAGGCTCCGGCCACAGGGCAGGGTTGCTTCACAATTGCCGGGTACTATCTCCTTTGTTTGACAAGAAAGAGGTGCCATTTTCTAGTCTATTCCATCAGCCTCAGTTCTACATGACACTGTGCCTGTGCAATAGGTCTCTTCCAAGGGGAATATTTGTGGCAGGGAAGAAGAATAGGACATTATAACATGGAAAGAGGCACAGACTGAAACCCTACTGGAAAAGTCTGGATATGGACATCCACAACTTAAAACAGGCTTAATACAATGCCAAGGGAATTTTTAAATTACTTTTTCCACAAACTTTCACAGCTGACCTAGTTTGGATATTTGTCCTCCCCCAAATCTCATGTTAAAGTGTAATCCCCAGTGGTGGAAGTGGGGCCTGGTGGGAGATGTTTGGATCATGAGGGCGGATCCCTCATGGCTTGGTGCTGTCTGCATGATAGTGAGTGCTCACGAGATACGGTCACTTAAAAGTGCGCGGCACCTTCCCCTGTGTTGCTCCTGCTTTCGCCATGTGATGCACCTGCCCACCCCCTGCCTTCTGCCACCGTTGTAAGCTTCCTGAGGCCACCCTTGAAGCTGAGCAGCTGTTGGCACCAAGCTTTCTGTGGAAACTGCAGAACTGTGAGCCAATTAAACCTCTTTTTTTAATAAATTGCCCAGTCTCAGGTATTTCTTTATAGCAATGCAAGGACAGCCTAATAACTTTATTATTCATCTATAATATTATAGTAATAGGGCAAGAAAAGCTATGACTTGTGTAACAAGAGTGAAAACCACTTTTAAGAGAACAGCAGTCCACTGTGTGGTTTTGCATATTTAAGTATTTCTCCAGTGATGAAGACTGTAATTCAGGAATCACTGTAGTAGTAGACCGTCACAGTGAAACTGCAGTTTGTTCATGGAAGCCTGTATGTCCTTCCACATTGTCGTCGTCTCTGGACTTGGCCATGCAATTTGTTGTGTCCAGTGGGACAATAGCAAATGTGAACAGAAGCCAGCAGAGAATTGAAAAGTGCTTGCACACTGGGGTGTCCCCTCTCATTTTGTGCTTAAAACCGTGTGACAGCAATGTGAAGAAGGCAGGGCTCACTGGCTGGTGAGATATCTATGGCGGATTCTTCCACTTCACTCCAGCTGACAGTGAACCCATTGCCCAACATATGGGTGAGGCCATCCTAGACCATTTGACCGCTAGCAGAACAGTGCACTAGCTGCAGATGCATAACTAAGCCTAGCCATGAACAGCAAATAAACCACTCAGATGATACCAGCTGAAATTACTAACCTGCAGAATTGTGAACAAAATAATTTACTGTTGTCTAAAGCATAAAATTTGGGGGCACGTTGTTATGCATTAAAAACTAGCAGCTCCAACCGTTAACCCCATTCATCAAAATCAACCAAAAACAGAGAAAGAAAAGGTTGTTCATGTTCATTGTAGAAATGTCCTGTCTACTTAAAGATGCTGGCATTTCACTTTCCCTGGAGTTAGAAAAAAAGGGATGAGGTTAAGACATCTAACATTGTTGCATACAGTCCCTGTGAGAGGCTGTGTGTTATGCCCTGCGTCCTATTTAACTGTTATCCCATTAACTGTTAGGGAGGCAGTTCATAAGTCGATTTTATAAAAGAGAAAACGAGGATTTAGAGTGGAGTTTGTATTTGAGTTTAAGGCTACATGTCTCCATAGCCTGCAACATGTCTTATAAGAAGGAATATTCTTATCCACAGCTATGGTTTGTTGTGGCCTTCGTTGATGACATTCAGCGTTGTTCTCTTGGGTAAGGTATTCAGTAGCTAAGATTCACTGACTCCAATGAAAGGTATTTTCCATCACGATCTTCTTCTTATGGACAATATGTGAAAAGAGGATGTGAGTACCTCTCTCACTCCCAGCAAATAATAGTTTTGTCAATTCTAGATGTAACTTCATGATTTGAGGCTTTGATTTCCCTTGCAAGATAAAATGCAATGAAGTGATACAGAAACAGATATTCTATGCTGTCATCACACTAGGTCGTGATGTTGATTTATGGATGGTCTGCTTTCTAATATGAGCCTAATATTTTTGTACCAGCAAACCTGAAAAGTATCAAAATCCCCTTGAACAGATTAACAGGCTGAGATGGGTTAATGTGAGCAAGCCAGAAAGTGGTGGAGCTGGGATCCACACCCCGGTCTGTCTGAGTCCAAAGGTAATCATCTTGCATTCACCATGGCACGTTTCCCTTATGTTAAGAGTTGCTGACATAGACAGTGCATGTCATTCCTTTGGTATGGTCTTCCTCCTTTCTAGTTTTTTTTTTTCCAGCCTGGAAGATCCAGGCACCCAAGAGAATAGAGGTCCATGTAAATTTCCAGGATCACTAGGATGAAAGCTGAGAGGATCTACCTTGAAACCAACGAGTCTAGGTTACATATTTCTGCCTTTTTTTTTTTTCCAGGGTTAGGATGGGGCAGGCAGATGGGCAATTGACAGGAACAGTAGAAGCATCCTCAGGGAAACTGGGTGCTTTACTTAGTGAGAAAGCCATGTCAGCTGACATTTCTAACTAGACTTTAAATGGAGTACAGTCCTAAGAGAGCAGCTCTCCAGAAACAGCTGTTACCTGGGATCGGAAATGTTAAAGACCTTCTCAGAGCTTGACAGTACTCACAGCTGGACCCAGCTATCAGGAGAGGAACTGCAATATACCTGAGAAACTTTCAGAATATTTAAGGGAAGCAGAGCCAGGGCGATTTTGGTAGTAGTCCATGAGAAAAACAAAACAAAACAAAACACTGTTTTAATGCAAATGAACTAAATTTAAATCCCGCTCTCTCGGTGGCTATGCAGCCTTAGGCAAATTAAGGCAAGTTAATATCTTTGTCCTTAATATTTCTCAGGTGTAAAGGAGGATAATAGGACTACCTACTCAGAACCTCACCTCTCCCAAGAAAGCTTTCCTGACCTTGTGCCGACCCATCATTTACATTGGGATTAAAATACTCCCCCCAACCCCGTTTTTCCAGGCTTCCTTGACTTTAATTCTGTCGTTAGCTTTAATTAAGGAGCTCTGTAATGATTTGTCT